TCTAAATATTTAACTGACATTAGCTAGCTCTCCCTCATCCTGATTTAATTGGTATGACTTTTATAATTGTTTCTGTATCAGTTTCTTGGCATGTTTTCAAAATTAACGTAGAATTCAGTTAGTCATATAATGATTATTTCCCAGAGAACTGTTTGCTATCTGATTACTATTTGACTGTACCTCATTACACAATGTTGTAGTGGCAGCTGCATATCTCCTAAGAGAGTTTGTGCTGTGGATGGCTGTGGCATTTGTGGGTAGAAGGAAACTCCCACCAATCCTCTTATTTTTGACTGGTTCAAAGGGCCTCATGGTTTATACTGATGGAGAATTAACCACAATTTAGTTTTAACAAGAATTTTTTGTCTTAACAAGGTGTAATTTATTGCATGATAGCAACTAGCTACAAGTCACATTACTTTGTTAGTCAGCATTACTAGTACTAACCATGAAGAGACCTGTGCTTTTCAGTTTATGCTTCCTGAGACCCTAACATGTTCTACCTCATCCCTACACAAGCCAGTATTATATGAGCAAACCGGTGGAGCTCAAAGCAGTATCTGACATAACCCTTTGGGAAGATTACCTTATCCAACAGTGATCAGCTCTGTTAAATGTCAGCTGGGGTGGCTCAGGAGTCCTACAATGACATGACAGTTTCTATCCCATTTCTTGTAAAGGAAGATTAAGGGAAGAAAGAGAAGGATGGATTGAGGACATGAGTTCAAGAGGCTTTGCTTTGTAGTATGTTCACAGGTGACGTCACTGAATTGGGCCATTTGTGATTGAACGTTCAAGTTCACTTTTAGTCATAAGAAATATGTGAACGTTGCCTCTCTGCCAACATCTTCGAAATATCAGAACTCATTCATTTTTGATAGTGAGCTTACTGTGCTCCTGTTGGTGTTTGCTTTTGGTACATAAATAACAACTGAATAAAATTATTTTAGGATGTTTCTCAGAGCTATGATAAGTGTAAATGCAAATATATTTAAACATTCCAAAGAATTTCCTTATTTAATGAAAGCTTTGGCAGAATAGTTGTAATTTAAGAAAAAGTGCACAAGACTGTCATAATAAAAGTTTTGATCTGCTGTGATGGAATCTGTCCTGTAGCAAATGTGCAGGATGAAAAAGATCATTGCGATCCAACTGGCCTGTTCCAGATAAATGTTACCATTAGTCTTGAACTCCTTTGGATCAAAACCAAACTATTTCATTTAAATTTGAATGAATATTAAAATATTTCTTTTCTGCTGCTTTTCACAGATGGTTTAGACAGCTGAATGAGCATTTTCATGTGAGAGGCTGTTCATATGTTCTGTACAAACCACATGGAAAAAATAGAACAGCTGGAGAAACTGGTACTTAGAATGAATAATACATTAATCTATTAACAATTGCATGGACTTGTCTACATTTTAAACTGTCAAATATGCTTATGTGATGCAACATCTATGAAATAGCTTATATCCAAAACACACAAATCTATTTTTCATCACAAGGGATATTGACTTCACAAAACAAATATTTTATGCCTTTAATACCATGTATGTCTAAGGCTTTTTTTCTTTATTCATTCACGGGATGACGGCATCGCTGGCTAGGCAGCATTTGTTGCCCATCCCTAATTACCCAGAGGGCAGTTTAGAGTCCACCACATTTGTGGGTCTGGAGTAACAGGTAGACCAGACCAGGGTAAGGATGGTAGTTTCCTTCCCTAAAGGACATTAGTGAACCAGATGGTTTTTTTCTGACAATTGATTCATGGTCATCATTAGATTCTTAATTCTAGGTATTTTATTGAATTCAAATTCCACCATCACCCATGGTGGGATTCAAACCTGGGTCTCTGAACTAATAGTCCAGTGATAATACCACTAGGCCATTGTCTCCCTATAGTATGAGCATGATATTGATTGAAATACAGAGAACTAAGAAAAAGGAAACAATGAAGACACCTGTTACAATCTAAACTTGGTGTTGAGTCCAGAATGATGTCTCGTGTCCAGTGAGGTGTTGTTTCGCAAACTTTCCTGGAATATACAGGACAGCACATCCTGAGCAGTGAATACAATATATTAAATAGAAAGGAGTAAATGACAGTTTCATGTGGAAGGAATATTTGGAGCTTTGAACAGTATGAAGGGAGGAGGTAAAAGGGTAGGAGTGCATCTCCTGTGCTTGCTTGGAAAGGTGCTGTTGGAAGTGGAGAGTTGTTGAATGATTGAGGAGTGGACCAGGGTGTTGTAGAGAGAATGGTGAAATGCTGAAAGAGGGAAGAGAAAATGTGTTTGGTGATGGCATCACACTGGAAATGGGAAACAGAATGATCTGTTGAACCAGAGGCTGATGACAAAGGAAATCCTATCATGGTTCTGGGAGTATGGGAAGCCATTAGAGAAGGGTGTGAAATACAGATTGGATGTAGTTGAGAACCCTGTCCATCACATTATGGGTCATAAGATGCAAGAGCAGAAATAGGCCCTTCAGCCCATTCAATGAGATCATAGCTGAATTGATAACTTTTAACTCCACTTTCCTGGCTTTTCCCTTGACTCCCTTACCAGAACTCTGTCTCAATCTTGAGTATACTTATGTCCCACCCTTGACAGTCCTGCCATAGAATTGCTACTGAGAAGAAATTACTCCTCGACTCTCTCATCAATGTATAACTCCTTATATTCTTAGATAATGATGGACCGTATGAAGGTTGGAGAAAAGTAGACATTAGCAGCAGGTTGATTTTTAACAAAAATCCAGTCAAGCAAAGAGCAGGAAATTGCATTGTAACGGTAATCAGTGTAGCAGAAAAGAGCAGAGGAATGGAGAGGATCCAAACAGGACTGGAACAAATAATGTTCCAGGTATCCCAAAAAATGGCAGACACCAGTGGGTTCCAGCAGAAAAACCTTTTTTATTTAGAGGAAGTTGGCGAAGGTAAAAAGGTGGAGGAAATTAATGGTGGATAACAACTGAAGAAGCAGAGTCTTCGGACTCATAACGGTGGACAATAAGATGTAGAAAGATTAGATATTCATGGTGAAAAGGAGACAATTGGGGCCAGGAAACTGAAAATTGTTAGAAGCAACTGCACTGAAAATATCATTGATTATATATTAAACAAAACAAAACGAGGCGAACCTAGTTCAGCAAAGCAGGAAGAAACTGAAAGGATGTAGAGGCAGACTGTCCCAAAACTTATCAAAGAGCTTGGAGGCTATGGAGAGAGAATCTCCAGGATAGAGAGCACCAGTGATGGTCTTGGAAATGATGGTTTGATGTCCATTGGTGGGTTCAGGGAGAGGTAGGAGGAAGGGTGTTCCCATCCAACTGCTGCTAGATAAAGCTCAGTATACCAAACAACACCACCGTGGTCAAGGTTTGACAACAATATTAGAATTTGGTTTAAGGGAACGAGTTTAAAGTGAGTGAGGGGAGCAGATAAATTGAGATAGCTGATATCACAGCAGTAGTTTTCAGACAAAATTGGAGGAAGAATTCAGAAAACAGGCAAAACAGTCCACTGAGCAGAAGATGCTCAACTGAAGAACTAAACACATACGATGAAAGAAGAGTTCAACACTGCCAGGCTCAATTGAGATATGAATACTAGGGAATGAAGCTAATGTTTTTGCCGAGGACAGATTGTCCAGAGTGAGTGAGCAATATATTGTGTGTACATAGAAAGAGATGAGATTGAAATGAGGGATAGGATCAAATAAAGGGGAGTAAAGATCTTAAGGAGCCATAGTACTCATGAGCTGTTGAAGTTTGCAGCCTTTTAAAAGGGGAAAAGTTCTTTGTTGAAGTGCTGGATGAGGAAAGATGAAAGGAAAGCCTGAGCCATGACAGCCTTGAGACAGAGTTGGTGCTGCTGAAGAGAAGGTTCAGGGATGTGAAATAGGGTGGATACAGCAAGGAAAGCAGTTCAAGCAATGCAGAATTTCTTCGAGTTTCCCATTAGCATGGGTGGATCCAAAACATGGGAGGTGGAATTTTATTTAGAATCCATGTGGAATAAATTGGAGACAGCGACAGTGGTTGTGAAGGTAAGTTGAAGTAGATTCCTATAAAAGGAACAGAAGAAGGGAAATGAAAAGCATGCAAGTTAACAAGTTTAAAGAGACACAGAAATCCTACGGACAGATCAAATTTTTTTTCAAACCCCCTCATGTTGATTAGAACCTGCATCTCTTTCCTTATCTGAGTTTTTGAGGTAGTTAACTTCAAACATCAAATCTTTCTTTCTTCAGGACTTGAACACAAGGACTTGAGAAAAGAGATGCCAGTCTATAGCATGAGAATATTGGGCTATTTGGGCCATCCTTGGCACAGATATACAGGAAAGAGTTCCTAGTTAATCTTAGTTCTCAGGCCAGTGGATAGATATTGTTTGGGGTGTTGCCATGGGAATACAGCAGAATGGCAATGTTCATGATTCATTTCTTTTCATTGGGCAAAAAGAAATGTATGTACAATTCTTGCAACACACTGCATACAACACTAGATGGATTCTGCTATGTCACAACATTTATTAAATAATAGGAGTATGCTAAGAATTACACCAGAAACCAATTTGATTACTTATTGGGTTTTCAGTGGGTGAATTTGCGTGCTAGAAACTACATATTATGGCCTTGTTTTATTAAGGCCAAGGGAGTTTTGTACCTACATTGAATCTTTTTAATTGTTGGAGGCAGGGAAGGAAGGTGTCATGGAGATTGGTCAGCAAGTTGGCAATCAATCTCTGCATTTCCATGGCCTAGGTCTCAGGCCAGGCAGAAAGACTGTGCTTGACATTGACTATTCTACTGCATTTCCACAAACAATGGCCTGATCAATAGCATTCTTTCCTCATGCTGTGTAAATTTGTGTCCCTTTTTAAGTCTAATCTGGCATCCTGGTCCTGATGAGTGAGTGCAAGACGAAAATATTCAACTTCATCTTGTTTTTTTAGCACTGTTTCGGTTCCGTACTATCAAGCAGTTATATATTGCTGTCTCCACAGTATTTTCAGCATCTTGTTGTTTTTATTTTGCATTTCCAGCATTCACAGTATTTTGCTGTTGTAAAACTTACTTATACACACAAGTAAATTGAAAGCAGAACAGGCAATGCTAGTTATTCAGATTTGAACTGCCAGTCAGTAATTGCAAATTGTAGATAATTTAGTGCTATCATCTCCAGATACCTAGGGGCTGTTTTAGCACTACCTACATTTTTTTTTTTCCTCTCCTTCCCTCAGTATTGAGTTCTGCTGGGTAGAATTCCATAGGCACTGTTCTGTCTTACCTAACTGCGACTAATGACAATGTTGGGAATATTGCAGGCAAAACTCTATTGTTCTGTGCAAACATGAAGATGATTGCAGTCCCAATAATAATTTGTTGCTGGGTCAGGAGTGGGAACTCCAAAAGATTTTTGTTTATTTTTGCCTCTATTTCCCCAAACCAGCATACTTGGCAAAACTAGTGGCTTTTCTACTACTCCAGCTAATCTGACAACCATCATTTTGTCTTGATACTTTGGTCATGACAAATTGTTGGAACATAATGATAACAGCTTAATTTACTGCATGATGAATATAGGATCATGTAATATAGTTGGAGTCTTATTTATGATTATATTCCAGCTGAAGGGGCTTTAATGAAGCTAACTCAAGGACTGAAGGATGAGTCAATGGCTTTCATCTACCATTGCCAAAATCATTACTTCTGTCCTATTGGATTTGAGGCTACCCCTTTAAAGGCATCCAAAGCATTTCGGTGAGTAAGTATAATTGTACTGCTTCCCTTGGTAGCTTGATGATACTGTTGCTTAAATGTGGATTTAATTGATAGACTAATTGCAAGAAAATTTGAATTCTGTTTCATTTTAATTGTGAGAAATGAAACATTACAGAAGTTTCCAAAATAAAGTTAAATATTAGCTTTCTTTTTCCATGTGAACAATTAATTACAAGTTTGAAAAGTACAGATAAAAAATGGATGGGTTTTAAATATTAGGGAACCAATAGGTACATATTATGAAATGTAAGGTTTTAAATTAATGTACTAATCAAAAGGAAAATGGACAAATGTAAATTATTTATTTTGAGATTGTTATTACTAATAGTGTAGATACCTGTGATATGTGAAAGATTGTAAGCAATTATTTTACCTCCAAATTAAATTATGGATTCTACTTTGACAGCAATTTGTGGAGAATTCTATATTCTAATCATTCTTGTTTAAACTGTTTCCACACTCTCTTTTTGTTGTTTCAGATATCTGTAACTAATTGAAATAGACCATCACTATTTATCTTAACAAATTATTTATAACAGAAAATGAACCTATGATGCACCCTTTCCATTTTCATATTTTGTTATTAAATTAGATGACAGTACATTTGTATATCTAATTGCAAAGTGAGGAGGAGAATATTCAATTTCTAATTACGTACTGCAGGCATTTTGTTTTCCCTTTTGCTTACAGAGGGAAGCTCCCCCTTGATGAAATGGAGTTTTGGATTTTAATAGGTGAACCAAGTAAGAAACATCCAGCCATTCACTGCAAAAAGTAAGTTTAACATTTTAACATAATAGTAGGCAACATTTCAAGGTCTTCTGATGACAGTTGAGTGAAACTGAGTAGCTACACCAGAGACATCCACAATTGGTCACTGGTCTGCACTGAACCAGCTATCTCTGATGGTCTTTATCCAATCACTGTGTGCATAAACTACCACCAAAGGGTGACAGGATTGGTCAAACCTGAGGACAACTTTAGTAAAAGAGCCACGTTATATTTTGTCTGATCTCCAAAACAAAATGATCACGTGTATAACAGGGCTCCTGTAGAATCACTCCAACAAAGAGAAAGCTAACACAGAATATTAATAAGAAAGTGAGGGGCTGTTGGAGACAACCGAGCATTTTAAAGACAAATAAGGTACACATTGACATTATACATTCCTCAGTATTGGTAGACATTTCAATGAAGAAATCATTTTAAATTTAATTAAATCTAATTTCAACTATACATACTATATACTTGAAAGCAAAAATATTATTCAGACAATTTTGCACTTTTTCTTAAACTAGTGGCACCCTGAGACAATGTGCTGAGACTCTAGATGCTTTCCCATTATAACATAATGAACAAGAGCTAGGGTGTGTCATTTGGTTTTACCAGTCCTCTCCTCCATTCAGTAAGAGGAAAGTCTCTACTTCAACTCCACCTCCACGCACCATTCATATGAAGCTTAATTTTCTTAGTACAGGTACCTGAGAATCTGACCGAGTGCTCAACCACTGAGCAGCCACTATATTTTTGGGGTGGTGAATTCCAAATGTTCACAACTCTTTGCAGAAATTTCTCCTCCTTTGCCTTAAATGGCAGACACCTAAATCGGAGACAATAATCTCATGTTCTAGCGTCCAAGCATAATATTTCCTCAGTATTCATCCATTTTCGTCCTTTATTGTAGAACTCCCAGGAAAAGCCTCAGTTCTAATGCTTTTGGGTGTGCAGTGAATGAAATGAAGTTTGACTCCTGTTCCACATAGTTCATGTTTCATCTTCTACCTGGCTCCACTTTTGTACTTATGACCACAGAGGGAGATTCTTTTCTAGAAATGATGTTTCTAGAATTGATTTTATAGAACTTTGAGGCTATTTTGCCCCCACCTGATGATTGTCAGAGGCTAGGACCAAATATCCTTCTCACCACAAATTATTAAATTCCTCCCTTCATGAATGGTGCAGTCATTGGATCTATACTAATTTGCACCTGTGATCTGTTACTTGGGAAACAATGGATAATTGGCAGGTAATATTTAAGCATACATTTTTAGAAAAAGGGAGAGAGATTGCTTAGAAATCCAAGAAAATCACTTGTCATTTGAATATTCTGGTAAACCTGTCTTTTGCAGTACTGCTGGAGAAGATAGAGAATTCACCCACCCACCCCCTGCCCCAAATCAGTTGCAGTTAGTATTTACCTGTGTATCTCTGCATATCAGAAGGAACAAGAACACCTTGGAGGGAAATGTGTAAATATACAACCTCCTCTTAGTTCCTGTGCACCATTTAGGATAATATCCTTTATTTTATAGTATCTTCCCATGTTCTTTGTACCAAAGTGCACCACCTCACAATTCTCTGCACTGAATTTTATCTGCAACCTGTCTGCCCACTCACCAAGTTGTCATTGGTTTTGACGTTCTACACTTCACAATTGCAAACTTTCAAATTGTTTTCTTCACACCAAGATCTAGACCAAGGGTCCCAAAACTGACAGCTGAGGAACTGCACTAGAAACCTTACAGCCTGAAAAATACCCATCAACCATTATTCTATTTCCTATATAAAGCTGAGATATTATCAAAAGTAAATCTTGCTGGAATAAATAATACCGCACATATAATCCTGTGATAACTAGAATCAGTGAGCAAGAATTTATTGTCTTAATTAAAAACAGAATTGTTCTATCCATACTAAATTTTTTTGTGGCACTTTCAGTTATGTTGAGATAATTTGAAGTGTGATTAGTTTCATGCAGTTACTGCAATAATTATATCCTTTAATACAGTGACTTATTTCTAACTGCAGGTGGGCAGACATAGTAATAGATCTCAACACTCAGAATCCTGAGTACCTTGATATTCGAAATCCTGAAAAAGGTATACAATACAGAAAAACAAAAAAGGTAACAATGGAAGACTTTGGATTTTTTGGATGATATGTAATATAGTAAATAAATGTTTGATCTCAGTTTTGCACCTGTGCTGTGAATTATAGGAGTATTAACAAGTAACAAGCAACACAACAGGATGGACTCAGCAGGCAAGTGGTTGGCTCTGAAGGAAACTGGTGTCTCTGATCACTAGAATCATTGTTCAGAACAGCTGCTCACAAAAATGGGTCAGCCCTTGTCTTTATAAGGGTTTGATATGCTTTTTTTGAGTTAACTTTTTCTTTTTTAGTGTACCTAGAAATTGAGGGCTAACTATAACACCACCCTAAGTTCAAAGTGAATTTGTTGATTATAAAATGTTCCAAGGTTTCCATTAAGATGTACCTGAATATGCTGAATCAAATTTTAGATTTAGTTGACCCAGAATTTAGGGAAACCTGAGTCCTGCAGTCAATGCCAGACTTCTGAGCAAGAACATAGACTATGCAAAATAAAATTCACCAAATATTTGCTTGAAAGCAACCTGACCTGGTTATTTGCACAATGTAAGGCATGGGATAATTTAAGTCTGTATGTTTGACAATTATATTTGGAATTTAGTCTAATAGTCTAAACCTGCCATACAAATTTAGCATTTTTTCAAGGATACCTTTCTATCCCCTCAAACGTTGAGGTTTCCTTTTTGTCTATTGTCTATTCATGTGCCAACTAAATGATAGTCACTGCCCTGTGCTGCAAGGATGTGCACAAGAATGGCCCATCTGGAATAGAGATATCCAGTTCTAAATGACTATATGTGGTCAAATTCCATGCAAATGTGTTAATAATCACTATAATACAGAGGAAGAAATTATTAAGCACAGCTTGATACAAAACAATAATTTCATTAATTTGAGTAATCTTTGCCCTGTTTCATGTTTTTCCCAAACAGAAGAACACCTATGTGATATAAAACAAGTTTTGGTGGGAAAATTGTCAAGTTTGAAACACTAAATCTGAGATTTTATACTTGATTATCAATAATGGAACAAGCACTCCATGCACCTTTTTCTCCCCCCCAACCCTAGCAAAAATTTTAAGTTTTCAAGAAACATCAGAAGGCCCCCACTGGCATTTCCTCCTTTTCAGGACATGTTTGTGCAGCATATTAGTAACTGACAAAATTCATTTGCTGAGCATTTGGAAACTGAATACTGTAGACTTAAACTGTTGGATTAATTTGTTGGAATTAACATTAATCACAGTGCTGGGTGAAAACTACATAATGATCATAATTGTACATGAGTCATAGTGATGGATAGTTCTAAATATTTGACTGTTGCTTTTATAAACAGAGGCATTGACTGCCAAGTCCTCTCATCTAAAATTTGTTGTTGCTTGGACTTCTAAAGATTTAACATAACTCACTTGATTGCTCATGAATTATGGCTGTCGCAAGCTAAGCTAGCATTTACTGTCCATTCCCAACTTCTACTCCAAAGAAAAATTTAGATGCATTAAATCTTTATAAATCACTGGCTCAACGCTAAATGGGGCATCGTGGCCAATTCTGAGCACCAAACTTCAGGGAAGAGGTCAAGCTTTGGAGAATCTGCAGAGGAGATTTACTAGAATGGTACCAAACCTGAAAGACATCAGTTATACAGAAAGACTGATGAATCTAGGATTATTCCTGAAGCAAAAAAGAGTTAAACGGCAATATGATACAAGGTCTTCAAATTGTTGAAACATTTGATAGACTAAGAAAGAAGTTGTTTTCAGTAACCAGAGGATGCCGATTCTAGATAATTAGTAAAAGTACCAGAAGCAACATCTCATGATTTGAACTGCACTATCTGAAATTGAAGGGGAAGCAGATTCAATAATTTTCAAAAGCAAAGTGATTTAATACTTTAAAGGAAAAAAAAATACTAGTGGAAAAGAGCAGAGGAGTGCGACTAATTGCAAAGCTGTTTCATAAAAGTTGGTACTGGTCTGATGGGCTGAATAGCTGCCTTCTGTTATGTATCATTTTATGATCTTTGCCTTAATAATGATTTGACGTGATCTCTAACTAGGTCGGTGGAAACTTGCATTGCATAATAACGTTCCAAAAACTGAACTGGCAAAAATTAAGCACATGGATGATGAGCATTGGAAATTTCAGGTGCGAAACACGTTCAAAGGTATCAGACTGCAAGTCCAGTAATTCTGCCCTCGGTTTGGAAAGAGTTTTAAATGATCATCATGAATCCATGAATGATAGTGATGGTTTTCAGCAAGCATCTGAATGGAAGCAGGTTGCAGTTCCATACGATTACAGAGATGGTGGATCTCCTGAAAGTGACACTGAAGTGGAAAGTATTGAATGATTTTAGTGTATAGTTGAGTGTACTTAACACATGAATAGGTGGGACACCAAATGACTTGGGCATGTTTTTGATTCAGATTTAGGTAGATACAAGTATAAAGTGTGGTCTACAAAAAATTGAGAAAAAAATGATCAGTCTTACAGCGACGTATGCAGTGTTTTTCCAGTGATGGTAAAAGGTGTTTCAAAAAGTCAATTTGAAAACCTGTTTTAATTGTGTAATAAATAATTCATAGGCCAGACTGTATGCAGTACTGTGTAAATGTAGGGATTAATTAGTGTAAGCACATTGAGGTATTATTAAAAACAAGTCCTGTTTTTATTTTCCATTTTTCAATAGCATTTTTTTTTTTTTTTTTTAAAAAGAGAATGAGTTCCAGAAACCATTATAGAGATAAACAGAAGTATCTCTTTTTTTGGAGATGGTTTTAAAAATTAATAAACTACTCTTCTGATTGATTCAAGTTGTGGATTGATGTCTGTGCAAAACACAAATCTAATTGGTCACACAAAATATAGTGGCATGGAGACACTTTGTATTGAATGGTGCTCAAAGTAAAGGGACAAAATATTGTTTATATTGGCCATTTAAATAGTAATAAGATTTTAAAGAAAAAGTTTGTCAAAGACTGCAGAACAAAATCCTTTTGTATGTTTTACACTCAACAGTACAATATCTGAGAGTTACCTTGTTCTGCCTCCAGCACTGAACAATGACAAATAATTTTTATAATTATCACAGGACGATAATAGACAAAAGAACCTTCAGTACTGATCGTGGCATTGCTAAAGTAAGATGTAAGCTTACATTATGCTCCAGTTCTGTAGTGGATTCAGTGGATCATAAATGTGCAACAAATAGGGCATTTGGCCCACTCTATGAATATCTTCTGACTCAAGTGCAGTGTTACAGTGATTACCTAACAAAGGGAAAGCAGAAACTTTTCTAATATGGCTCAATTGTGCATTGCATCAGTTGGACATTCTATCAACATGATATCCTTGTATTGCTGTGCGGTAGGGCAGAGGTTTCCTGAGGAGGATGGCTTCCTTTTCGTTAATCTACATAGTGCTTTCAGAGATCACTCTGTAACTTACCTGGGTAGAGTGTTGATGTTCTCTCTCCAATGTTTTGTGTAGGTATTTCAATGGCACTGACTGCTGCTGCAGCACACTTGCACTTAAATAAGTTAATGTCTGGTCCTGCAAGTCAAGACCTCCAAGAAGAAAAAAAATCAATATCTTGCAAAAGAGAATCCATTAAGGCTTATGCCTGGGATGATTGGACAATATAATCTTTTTATTACAGACAATTGCTTGATCTTGCACTTTGGAGCCAAAATTAGGGTGAGATTGGTAGACCCAAGGGTTAACATCATTCAACACGTCTGAGTAATGCAAGGCTGGAATAAATTGAAATGTTATTGTCAAATCAGTTTTATTGAAATCTCCAGAAGATTCATTAAATTTTTACAGTGCTCTGCCCGTTGCAACACAGAGAACCATCAAAAACCCAAAAGAGTTGGGAGGCCCGACCCTATCTCAAAATGTCAGTTCTTTTGGAAAGAAAGAAAATCATTTGGACAAAGTAACTGTCAGAATGAAGACCTATGAGGAATTAGTTATCAAATTAGGATTACATAAAATATTAGATCCCTGGTCCACTCTTCCTTCACTCCCAACATGCCCCAAGGTACCTTCCCCTGCAATCACTGAAGATGTAACACTTGCCCATTTACCTCCTCCCTCTGCAGTATCCAAGGGGCTAAACAGATCTTCCAGGTGAAGCAGTGCTTTACCTGCACTTCCCACAATCTAGTGTACTGCATTCGCTGCTCACAATGTGGTCTCCCCTACACTGGGGAAACAAAGCATCGACAAAATGACTGCTTTGTAGAACACCTACATTCTGCTCGCAAAAAAGACCTTGAGCTTCCATATGCCTGCCACTTCAACACAACACCCTGTTCCCTGGTCAAAACCTCTGTTTCAGGCTTGCTGCAGTGCTCCAGTGAAGCTCAGCATAAACTGGAAGAACAACACATGATTTTCCACTTGGGGACCCTGCAGCCTTCTGAGCTCAATAACAAATTCAATAACTTAAGGGCTTGAACTCTTCTATGTCCCAGCCACCACCCTCACACACAGTTATCTCAGTCTGCTTTACACACAACCCATTGTTAGCCAATAACAGTCTCCATTAACTGCTAGTCACCCTCCTAGCTAGATTGTTATCCATTCCTTTGTCTGTCCCTGTTCTTCTCTCTCTTTTTGGGCTCTATCCCCAACTATTGTTTACTCCTTACCCCCTTCCCCCACCCTATTTTCTGCATTTTCATCAACATTTTCCTAGCCAGTTCTTATGAAGAGTCACCAGACTTGAAATGTTAACTCTGACTTCTTTTCACTGATGCTGCCAGACCTGCTGAATTTTTCCAGCAATTTTTGTGATATCAAATACTTTAATGGAACAGCTGAACCAATCTTATACACTACTTCCAGAAATGCCAAGGCAGGAAGACAAATAAGCTTGGTACTGTGAAGGGTGAATTTATGACAAAAAAAAAGGGAGAAATACTTATTTTCATCGGAACAGTCTGCTAGAAGGGATGACTGAAGCTGCAACACTGGGAGTAATGTGAGACATCATTAACTGCTACAATGGTAAAATTCCAATAGCGATATTGTGGAAATATGACATTAAATATGCCTCCTCAAATCAAATCCACGATAACATCTTCCCCCATGTATCAATTCTTTGAACGATCTGAGCTGAGACGTTGTGCTATGAGTGGAACAGCAACTGACGCTGGCCCTGAAAATTCTTAAAAGTGATGATGGCACCAGATTTTAAAATTCATTCACAGGATGTGGGTAGTGCTGGCTTGGCCAATATTTGTTGGCTATCATTAATGGATTTGAGAGTCAACCACGTTGCTGTGGGTCATGCGTCATATGTAGTCCAGACCAGGTAAGGATGCAGTTTTCTTCCCTAAAAGACATTAGTGAGCCAGATGGGTTTTTTTTTGACCGAGTCCCTACAGTGTGCAAACAGGCTATCCAGCCCAACAAATCCAAACCGACCCCCACCCAGTATTTCCCACAGCTAACACATCTAACCTACACGTCCCTGGCCACTATGAGTAATTTAGCACGGCCAACCCACCTAACTTGCACATCTTTGGACTGTGGGAGGAAAACCACGCAGACACAGGGAGAACGTACAAATTCCACACAGACAGTCGCTCAAGAGTGGAATCAAACCTAGGTCCCTAGCGCTGTGAGGCAGCAGTGCTAACCACTGAGCCACCATGCCGCCCAAAAGTTTTTATTAATTTAATTTCTATCTATTTTCTATTAAATTCTACCAGTTGGCCAGGTGAGATTTGAACCTGTGTCCACAGATCATTAGCCCCTTGATTAGTAGTTCAGTACCATTACCATTAGGCCACCATATTCCTCAATCAACCATGGTTTTCCTGGTCATCATTAGTCTTAATTCCAAATTGTTATTGAATTCAAATTCCACCATTTGCCAATGCCAGAATTAAACCTGGATCCCCAGAACATTACGTGGGTCTCTGGATTAATAGGAAAGCAATAATACCACAAACCAGTCAAGGTGGAGGTGACAGGTCAGGAAGTTACATGAAGTTGCTAGTTTTTAAACAGGTTTCTATTACTTAAAATTGACACCTCACTCATTCTAAAATCATGATAAGTCTTCCTGCAACAATTCAATTTATCATGAAATACTAATTGAATTGTTCCATGGAACTACTGATGCTGAAATATGTTAAGAAAATGAGTGTGAAGCTAGCTTTTTCAGTAATATTATTGCCATACTGAAGAAGCCTATCTGCTGATCAAACGCTATTTACAAAGTCTGGAAAGTCATCTTTTGAGACATTCCAAATGAAGACTTTTGGAAGATCAAAGTATGCCTTCATTCATTTGAAGGTTAGATTAAAGTTGAACAGTAGGCCATAAGAATTTTGTAAACTCAAGAAACCAATCTATTGAATACTTACTACAAATACCATTAGCTCGATAAATAACTCAGAAAACTGCAATAACTGTAAGGTGATAGCAATAGAATTCCATAGCATTCATATTGTTCTTGCCAATATTCGAAGCTCAATCATGTGACAAATTCAGTGTTAGGGTACGTCGTAGCTCTGCGATATCAGCTGGAGTAGTTCTGCAACAGCCACCTATAACAGATCGGTATTTTTAATAATACTGAAGGATTGATCTAACTTCATAACCTATGAATAAAGCTCAGCTGTCCAATTCTTCAAGAAACATCCAGCTTAATTATATACCTATTTAGTCACCAATAGATGTGCTAGATGTTACAAATAGTTATGTTTAGGATAATGATTGTCAAGCGCTGTACAGCACTTGAAACAGACTGAAAATAACAGCTAAGGCAATTCATATTAGAGCAAAGAGTTCCTGTTTAAAACTTCCTCCTTCTACACAAGGAATACCTATTGCAGTTCATCAACAAGTTTAGGTCTTAGGTCTTAGCGAAAATTTGTAGCTTGGGTTGTAGATGCAGTTGTTCGTTAGCTCACCAAGCCAGTTGTTCTGTGGTGTGCAGACCACAGTTACCTTTCCAGGCAACATCATCAGTGTCACCTCTGATCGAAGCATTGATGTTCTGATTACTGCTGGATTTATATGATCGTCTGGTGCGATGGTCTTGTCGCTTCCGATTCTGTTGTTCTAACAGCATCTGTATACAGGGTCTATTTCTAGGTGCATGTTAATGGAGTCCCGTGTTGAGAACCAGGCTTCCAGAAATTCCCTTGCATATCTGTTGTTTGCTTATTACAGTATGGTCATTTTGTCCCAGTCGAACTGATGGCCCTCATCGTCCGTGTGTATTGAGACAAGTGAATATTGGTTGTGTCTTTTTACTGCCAGCTGGTGTTCATGTATCCTGGTCGTCAGTTTCCTCTCTGTTTGTTTAATGTAATGTTTATTGCACTCACTGCATGGGATTCTGTATATCACGTTGGTCTTGTTTACTGTCGGTATGGGGTCTTTAGTCTTTGTAAACATTTGATGCAGGTTAGTGTGCAATCATGATCTTATGCAGCCTTAGGAGTCTGGTAGTTATTTCTGATATATTTTTGATGTAGGGTAGCGTTGCTATTGTCTCTGTTGTATCGTGTCCTCTGACTGTCGTTTGTTTTGTAGGCATCTGTGGACTAAACTTCTTGGGTATCAGTTGTCGGTGAAAACTTTGTGTAGGTGTTCCTCCGCCATTCTCCGGAGTTCTGGGGTGTTGCAATGTGATGCAGGTCTGTTTGTGTATGGTGGGCTGGTTGCTATTGAAGTTAAGGATCTGGTCTGTGTGCGTGGCCTTCCTGTACACTTGGGTCCGGAATTCGCCGTTAGTCATTTTGTCTACCATTATGTCTAAGAACGGGAGCTGTTTGTTGTTTTCTTCCTCTCCATGGAAGAGGAACACCTACACAAAGTTTTCACCAACAACAGATACCCAAGGAGTTTCGTCTGCAGATGCCTACAAAACAAACAAGTTGGAGGACATGGTACAACAGAAAACACTAGCAACGCTGCCCTACGTCAAAAATATATCAGCAATGACTACCAGATTCCTGAGACCGCTTGATTGCACACAAACCTACAGCAACACTGTGCCAAATGTTAATCAAAGACTAAAGACCCCATACCGACAGTAAACAAGACCAACGTTATATATAGAATACCATGCAGTGAGTGCAATAAACATTACATTGGACAAACAGGGAAGAAACTGACGACCAGGATACACAAACATCAGCTGGCAGTAAAAAGACACGACCAATATTCACTTGTCTCAATACACACAGACAACGAGGGCCATCAATTCGACAGGGACCATACTGGGACCAGCGAACACCAGACATGCAAGGGAATTTCTGGAAGCCTTGTGCTCAACACGGGACTCCATTAATAAACACATAGAAATAGACCCTGGATACAGACCACCGCTAAAACAGAACCAGAAGCGACAAGACCATCGCACTACAGGATCATATAAATTCAGAAGTAAGCAGAACACCAATTGCTTCAATTAGAGGTCGCACTGATGATGTTGCCTAGAAGGGTAATGAAAGACTTGCACACCACAGAACAACCAGTCCGGCGAGCTAACAAACAACTGCAAGTATATGTGTTCTCCAGTGTTATTTTATTAGGATTAGTAATTAATCCTCTTGTCTCTGAATTTTATGATTGCAGTCAAAGCAATGATAGGACTATTGGAGCTATTTGTAGCATCCCTATGTTCAGGAAGCAGAAATTGCTCAGAGTGCCCACACTTCCAGTGGTCTCCATTGCCTCACTGAAAAGTGACAAACTGAACAATCTGAGACTTTATTGCTAGAGAAACTCAGCAGGTCTGGCAGCATCTTTGGAGACAGAAACAAAGTTAACGCTGAGTCCAATATAAAACCTTTCCAATGGGGTTCCATGGAGAAGAGTCATATTTGACACAGAAAGTTAACTCAGTTTCTCTCTCCTTGGATGCAGCCAAATCTTCTGCGTATCTCCAGCGTTTAGTTTGTATTTATTCGTTTTGTTACTGTCTGTTTGAACATAGCCATACAAACTCAAGTTTCTAAAAACTTACCAATCCATTTAGCACCAAGTTCTTTCCATTCCAATGCAAACTTTGCAAGTTGGTTATTGACTGATTTTCTCCACCAGCTGGGAAAATAAATTTATTGGAAACACAACATGAAGAAATCTATAGCCTAGGCATTATACAGCGCACAGAGAAAACAGTAGAAAGTGTTCTTCTGTTTTAGTTTCATAGCAGACCATTTATCTAAACCACTGTCTCCTAACTGTAAAGTCATTTGAAAATAATTCTGGAAAGCGTCTTATAAAACAGAATCAATATTATATCCTAATTAATCATAACTATAAGTGAGATCAAAAGCAATAGTGCCATATAGAAGTAAATTCCTACAAATTCTCTGTCCATTTCATCCCAAATTAATTGTTGTAACATATTTAAATTTGGGTTGATTTAAATATTTACTGAGGTTCAATGATGTCAATTACACTCCTCTAGATTATCTGATTGCCTGTGTCTTGCAGAATTGGCTTTCACTGTTTTACACCTATTGGGGGGGACATTGACTCCTTTCCCACGTTTTAGTCAGGATCTCTGTAGCAAGTGCTCATATTCTCGAAAGTGAACCAAGTTAACACAAGTCAAGACACCAACTGGACTACTCGCAAGCTTTTCATTCACAGTGAATAGAAGAACATGAAGTGAAATGAAAGTGAATTGTTTCATCAGTTCAAGTTCTGTTCCCGCACATTTCTTGCTGTGATCCAAGAATGATCACATTTACCCACCTTTACTTTATCATTGAAAATTCAGCTAGCGTTCTTAATCATTCATGGCTGATTATACTTGCAATTGAACATCAATTTCCATAATTGTAATTGATCTTTGCAATATTTGAAAGGTTACTTTGATTGGGAAACTGAAGGTTGAGAATCTGCATAGCACTTAAATCAAAAGTCTAACTTGAAGCTAAAAGTTTTGAACAAATATGAATTAACATTTCTCACCATGTAATGTAAATAAACAGGTCTAACTTGTTGAAGGAGACTTAGGACTATTAAAAGATTTCCTAGTTTTAAAAACAAACGCTGTTTATACAAAATGTTTCTACAGTTGTTGGAATAAATTACGCACCGCGTATTAGAATCCCATGTTTCGCCACTGTTGGGATATACAATCCATCCTATTTCTGGTCCCCTGGCTTTATTGGCACTAATAAGGAGTGGACTAATTATATCAGGAGAGCAGCAGTTTAATCCGACAGACACCAACTGATCAGATTTAATTGCAAACTTCACTGCATCTTCGAAGTTCTCTCCATGGGAAATACATTTCCCATCCTGAAATATAGATTGAAATAAAGATTAGAAAACTAAGGTAAAAATTACACTGCAGATCCATATTCAGTCCCAGTAATTCTAAGAATAAAACTGCAATGTGTGTGTGAAATAATGAGATTAAAGGAGGTATTTTAACTATAGATAGTTGCTAGCCTGTTGACAATTGCACTGTTTATCTTCCACACGTGTCTTGCCACTGTTACCATCATCTCCATGCTGCTTAGATTCCTGCAGGGCGATCTGATGAAGGGTCTAGGCCCGAAACATCAGCCTTTCTGCTCCTATGATGCTGCTTGGCCTACTGTGTTCATCCAGCTCTGCACCTTGTTGTCTCAGGAAATATGGGGCTGAATTTAAGCTCACATGCCAGTGGTTTTAAAAATAAAGTCCCCACTCAGTTACCTCAGTGTCTGCGCCAATGACGATGTCCAATGGGGACAGTCTGATGTCCCAGCAATAACCTGCACTCCTGCAAGGTGCTCCTGCAACCACAGAGCAGCCAGACACCCAATTAACTAGCAGTTTGCAGAGCCAGTACTACTTGATCCTGAGGGGTGGTATCCTAGCTTCAGCTATTAGCGGAAAACTGACTGTTAAATGACAGTGGAGAGCTGATCACCCCCAGGCCAAACTCAACACCAACATCTTGGGGGAGGGTTGGGGAGTGAGGGCAGAAGGTTGGAAATCTAGTTGATGGTTATTGATTGAGAACTATTTTGACTCTGCTCCTTCATCGGGTGGAGAGAATTAAAATTCCCCTTGGAGTCCTTTCTTTGGCTGATCTCAGAGAGTGGTATTTTCTAAAAGTTTACAAGTCTTAGACTGGCTTTCAAACGCATCATTGTGGAAAGTGCTTTTCTGTAGGAGTTGTTCAAAAGAAACCCAATTTGCCTTGGTTTGATATAATGACAAAGAAGTCTTCAGTTGTATCTGTTCTATTCTTTCTTTACAAGAGATGCAATGTTACAACAGAAACTTTTAATTTTACTGTGTAAAATAAGCTTTGTTAAATAATATCCCAATGGCATTTAGTATTCCAAGAAAATTCATAACCAGGAAAAGCATTAAATACTTAATTTCAATCCCAAGATACAACTTTTCTAATTATAAACCTCACAAGGGATGTTAAAGAGAGCCATTCAGCTAATCTACTTTATTCTTCACTCATTCTCTCACCCCTGGCTCACAAGCCCTGGGTTTGAATTTTGAATGTCCAAGCTGTTTGCCTAACTGCTGACCTACAGACGGTCACAGATGTAACTTTTATGTGAAGAAATACTCTGCAACATAATTTCTGAACTTAAATTTTACTAGTTTGTAACAGTCAGCTGGATATTACATGCCCTTGCTAAGGTTGAGGAAGTGGGGGGGGTGGTGAGGGTTGGTGCTGCTTTGTTAAAAACGCAAATAACCCACTTTAACAGGAGCTGGCTGCCTCTTTTTTCCTTTCACTCTTAACATAGCGAGGGGCATAGGGGAGGTGTAGTATTTCTGGAGGGTTCCTTTTCCCATTGAAGGCACACCAAGAAGGTAGTACATCAACTTGCTATCAACATAAATGATACAATCCAAGCTCCCTTGCCTCTTCCATATGGTAGGCAAACCTTCCTGCCCAATAATCCCTTGACTTACCTCACTCCAGGATCCATGGCTGTTTTACTTGTGGGTGTGCCTACAATCAAGGCAGCATCCATTACAGAACTTTTGTCCAATATACCAAATTGTTTGGGTTCAGACCATTTAGAACTACACAGCAGAAATCGATCCACTGTAACTCAAAGCTACAAAAACTGTTCTCGAGACCAGGTCATCTGTATAACCAAGACTGGCCTTCAGTGGTGCTTATGCTAATCTGTGTGCTAGAAAATGAGCTAATTATTTAACTCTCCAGTCACTCATTCCAAGGTGTCGCCAGGACATTCAAAGGCAAACACGTTTTGTGCAGAGGTCATAGTAATTAGAATTCAAGAGAAAGCCCAGAAGCCCCACCCACACGTATTTGGAGAGAAATAAAATATTTTCTATGGCTCATAAACCAATGTATATGGCAGAGAAGCAACAGAATCATATTCTGTCACAAATTTCCGAGTCCTGCTTCCCTGGCAAAAATCAAGCTTTCCATCTTTTCCAACCTCAGGAATTTCAGGGCCCAAAACCTTTTACCATATTCACCTTTAGCATATATAGCTCAGAATGGTAACCCTATTGAATTGGCAGTTTAGCTCAGAATTCAATTTGCTTTGTTAATTTTACAATAGCCAGACACGGTCAGCATTCAGTCTACAACGGCTCCCAGATTCCTTTACCATCTTTTGCACCGTTTAGTTTGACATCACTCATAAGCCCAATCAGACCCGTTTGTTAAAGCCTACATAGTATTTTAGAATTCAATAATAAAGCTAACTTTCATTAATAATTCAAACTTATACCTAAGCACCTTGACAGAAAATGACAGCCAAGCTTTAGCATTAGGAAATTCCTTAAGAAGTTCCACCAGAGCTTCTCCTTCTTTCTGACTGGGAATTGTTTCCATTGCAATGAGATCCACTCCTGCAGTTATCAAAGACTGCATCTGAGGTCGATGCCAAGTTTTTAATTCCTGCAACAACCAACAAAAGATTATGTAGCATTTTAAAATTATTTCATAAATGATCCATGTGAATACTAAACAAATGTGAAATCTGAAAATTATATACAATTTTAACTGATATTCACTTCTTAGAAGATATTTTGTCTTACACCACCATACAAATAGTCTATACTTTTCTAAGGAAGTAAAATCAGAAAAAAGTCTTGACTAGATTTCCATTTTTCACAGCTGATGACCTAAACATTTACCTTTGCAGAACTCTAAGTTTTATTAATGTTTTAGGAAAGAAAATTATGTATTTTTAACATCATAATAATAGTCCAGTCTCCCAAATTTTTTAAAGGACAACAAATACAATGAATTGATCCTTTAAGGAAAGAAAGAGACTATTTACATAAGTAGCAGTTTTCACAGGCAACTGTAAAATCCGATCAGACTGAGGCCCCGCCGGCGGCCGGCATCCCGGGGAATCTGCGCCTGTGTCGGGCCGGCACCCTAGGCCCCGCCTCTTGCGGGGTCTACGCCTGCACTGGACCGTCACTGAAAGTTGCCACCCAGGTTGATAGCATTGTTAAGAAGGCATACGGTATGTTAGGTTTTATTGGTAGAGGGATTGAGTTTCGGAGCCATGAGGTCATGTTGCAGCTGTACAAAACTCTGGTGCGGCCGCACTTGGAGTATTGTGTACAGTTCTGGTCACCGCATCATAGGAAGGATGTGGAAACATTGGAAAGGGTGCAAAGGAGATTTACCAGGATGTTGCCTGGTATGGAGGGAAGGTCTTATGAGGAAAGGCTGAGGGTCTTGAGGCTGTTTTCGTTAGAGAGAAGAAGGTTAAGAGGTGACTTGATAGAGACATACAAGATGATCAGAGGATTAGATAGGGTGGACAGTGGGAGCCTTTTTCCTCGGATGGTGATGGCTAGCACGAGGGGACATAGCTTTAAATTGAGGGGTGATAGATATAGGACAGATGTCAGAGGTAGGTTCTTTACTCAGAGAGTAGTAAGGGCGTGGAATGCCCTGCCTGCAAAAATAGTAGACTCGCCCACTTTAAGGGCATTTAAATGGTCATTGGATAAACATATGGATGATAATGGAATAGTTTAGGTTAGATGGGCTTCAGATTGGTTTCACAGGTCGGCGCAACATCGAGGGCCGAAGGGCCTGTACTGCGCTGTAATGTTCTATGTTCTATGTTCATTGCTGCAAAATGAAGCAACTTAAGAATTCCTATCTAGCTTTGTTTCACCAGGTAATGACTTGATACATCTATGAAAAACATTCGATAGGCAGGAGGAGGCCATGTGCAAAAGGCACAATTGTCAAGATCACAAGGGAAATCATTGTTGCAGCTCTGATTAAGGCTATAAATGCGTAACATTAAACTGCAATTGTCCTTTGGTACAGAGATGTTGTAAAATTCATTTAGTGATTCACCGAATCCAAGATGGTGTCTGCAACAGTCAAACTGTTACTGTCGCCAAGCTATTTTGCATTAATCACAGTCATGAAAACACATCTGTAAAATGGCTTTTAGCTCTTAATGCTATCTGGGAGTTAAGAAAATAGCATTGTTTGTTTCGTGGCACAGCGTCGCAGGTGCTATCCCACTGTGAAAGTGCATTGTAGTCCTAGAATCCCCACAGTGCAGAAAGAGGCTACTTGGCCCATCGAGTCTGCTCTGACCATCAGAAGAGCATCCCAGCTCCCCACCACTCCCCGTAACCCCGCTTTTCCCCTGACTAACCCACCTAGCTACACAACCCTGGGCACTACAAGGCAATTAAGCATGGTCAATCCACCTAACCTGTATGGCTTGGACTGTGGGAGGAAACCAACGCAGACACAGGGAGAACATGCAGACTCCACACAGACAGTTACTCAAGGCTGAAATTGAACCTAAGTCCCCATCATTGTGAGGTACCATTAATATTAAATTAATGCCTGAATTAGTTGACTCAGTTAACTTTACAATCTTTGAAATTAAACACTATTTTTGAAAATCGCACAGAATTATTAGGTCTAATAGCAAGTTGCATTGACAAAGCACATTTAATGTAGTAAAAATATCTCAAGGCATTTCTGAGAAAATTGAACTCAAGCCACCAAAAGACAATTTAGAAGGGATTGTCATAAACTTGATCAAAGACTTGGGTTTAAAAGCACCTTAAAGGAGGAGAGAGACGAAGAGAGATTTGAGAAGAAATTAATGAGCTTTAGGGCCTAAGCAAAGACATAGGATACACAAGAAGTCAGAAATTGAGGGGCATCTCTCAGGATCAGATACAACACCAAGCTTGTGAACTATCTGCTTTAGCCTTAGACAGCTGCCGGGGATAGTAATGTTTCTTTGTTATTAATACCTGGAGAGTATTTTAGGAATGGTGGAAACAATTTTGGCAAATGTCTCTGTTTCAGGTCTTGATCGAACAAAGCTGATAAATCTTGCCTATTTTCTGGGCAGTGACTACACTGAAGGAATCCCTGGTGTGGGTTACGTAACAGCAATGGAGCTCCTGAATGAATTCCTTGGACCTGGACTGGAACCTCTTATTCATATTCGGTAGGATAAAATGTGCTTATGATTCATCACAGTTCCTGTCCTGTTGACTTTTTCTGGGCTGCACTCTAGGGATGGAATGTGAATATGATCAGGCCATTTGGCCCTTTCAGTTCATTCCCTCCATTGTCCACATAACCCTTACCTTACCATGAGATATTTTTAATCGCATGCAGAAAGTGAATAACAAACTCTAAGCTCTGTGAAATTTGTTTTTGAGCTCTTTAGCTTACAGAATTCCAGTTTACCAGGCCAACATGGCAACCTACTTTATTGCAACTGTTCAGGGCTGAATATACAGACAACATCCCATAGTCATGTGGCATTTGATCATCTATATTTATATTTGCCACTATAACCTACAGGTTTCAGCACGTATAAAATGGAATAGTATGATACCATCTGAAAAACTGTTTGTGCTATGTGTTAGATATAAATAACTTTATGATCTTGATTATCAGAAGTTTGCATGAGTTTTTCCAAAATATTGCTCACAAACTAATGGCTATGGAAAATGCCACAACATTGTTCCTGAGTCTTCAGCCCTCATGACAAATGGCACTGTACAGCTACAGTTTTTCAGTTGTAATACTTAGGACAGCTTTCATTAAATCTGAGGAAGGGTCACTCGACCCAAGATGTTAACAGATGATGCCAGACCTGCTGAGCTTTTCCTGCAATCTTTGTTTTTGTTTCTGATTTCCAGCACCCACATTTCTTTGTTTTCATTAAATCCAGTTTGTTTCAGATATGAATTCAGTAGCATGAATGATTAGCTTTAACACTTCATAGGTGCAGAGAAATTCTTACAATTAATTGTCATCTACAGTACAGAAATGAGTTAGAACTTGCATATCTTACATTGATTTTAATATTTAGA